CTGCGAGCTTCGTTAAGGCGAGACGTGTCCCGGAGTCTTGGACGTGCATTTTAGTCGCCAAGGGAGAGGCAGCGATGGCAGATCTGGCCAACGATGAAGAAAGAGAGAGGATTTCAACATCGAAGAAATGTATTTGGATCTTGAAATAAAAAGATCAATTTCTTCAGAGAGTAATACGTTTGAGGTTTTAAAACAACAAGTTGTTTAAAAATAGCAAATGTTTGCTAACTAAACAATGAAAATAAAGATTAAAAATAACGGCAGAATTTCAAATGGAAAAAAGTAAACAAAATATTCGTGAATTGCTTAGAGATTGATTGATTGTACGTTAACGTAACAAAGTTCATTTGGGAACGAGACCTTTGTATAAAAAATAATCAGTTCTAATTATTTCAACATCACTTAATGAATAACGGCATTCAATTAATAATAATGACATAATCCTGCTTAGAAAATACAATAGTGTTTCGGAATTCATTTTTCTTTGAGTGGTATAAAATAAATAAAATCTTCTCAAATTTTAATATAATATTTCCATTTACATTTGGAAGCGATATATTTGTCGGTCAGTCTGCGTTTGCATTACTTGCAGTGGCGACTTAGATTTCATTGACCATAGCACTCGTATTTTGGCGCGGCGAGATCACATTTTCAGCAGCTGGCAATGGCTGCCGGGAGGCCCGGAACTCACACTCAGTCGGAGGCAAGAATGCAGAATTGGCTATCGGTCCTTCAGGTCTCCTGATCACGTAATTACAGGAAATTACCCCCCATGATACGTTGGAAATCACAATTAGCCGTCGAGTCTAACATAGACACGCAATTCAGAAACAGAAATGATAATGGAATTGATAAAATAAACGAGTTGCCAAATATTTTTTATAATGTGTTAATCTGTACGCAGTTTATGATTAGTTTATTTTCAACGATTCAGACTTTTTCAGTTTCAAACTCGCATGATATGTGAGCATTACTTTCTACCATACCCTAAATATCCTAATATTACAACCTCAAATCGAATCTTGTACCGAAATCATGCTAGAATTAAATACAAAGTCGTATGAATTCAAAACTTTTCCCGGTGCGACTTATCATTTAGTCACCAAGAACTGAAAATCATTAGCTTGCACTCTGATGCGGCTAACGTTTTATTCTGATGCTAGAATTAAAATACTTTCTTTGTATTCTCTCAATTAATATTTGCTATTCCGTATCCTACACTTTGAATGCTTCTTAGACATTATATAAATTAAGCTCTTCCATTACTTGTTTCTCCAGAGATTTTAGATCGTCGGGAACTCTGTATTTGCTCCTACAATGCCACGTGTACAGCACAGGGAAATTTTCGAAGTCTTCAATCTCCATTCCCTAAGCGGATTATTCCCTTCGAACCCACGTAGAAACATGCGCTCCACGTTCATATTTTTCACACCGGCTTCAGTTCTTGGCGATTCATTTATGCGAATTTGCTTGCGAGTTTCGTCGCAAATCTATGGATCAAAATTTACGACTTGAACTTCCTTCTTCATCCTGGATTTTTCAAATTTCTTCAATGCGAAGAGTCAGCTCTAAAAATTGTATTGAATAATTTTCAAAACGTTTTGTTCATATTGTGTTATCATGCCCCGGCAGCGATTTATGTTTTATACGCAAACGAACTTTTATTTTCAACATCGCAGCTCATATTACGCTGCAGTTTTACGTCTAAAAACTGTTTCCTGACTGATCTATTCTTCAACACTGTATCAATTATTCAAGTTCAGTTTGGACAACTGGATTGAAACCTCGTCCACTGCATTGAATTTTAACTTCAAATATAATATTATTAATATTGGATGATTTGTTTCAAAGATTGCGGACTTTTTAAACATAAATAACACGATGAGGAAAATACTGCGTTGCGGATAAAAAAGTATCAGAATAATTAGGCATTTCCAATCAAACGAAATGTAAACTTTAGATTAAAAAATCAAAATTAAATAAATATGTTTTGCATCTACGACCACAAAATAGAAAAAAAAATCAACATTTTTATTGTTAGAAAATTCAACAATTGTTAACAAAAAATACGTAGACCAGCACGAACTTTACTGCAACTGCTGTGGACATTAATGCGTGCATCTAGTTCATGATCGTTAAAATAAAATTAGAAATTAAGGTTTACCGAAAAAAAGAGCGATAACTCGTTGGTTTAACATAATTTTTATTAGATAACGGTAATCAAAAATGAGTAGAACTGTCTTAACGACTTATATTAAGTTAACATCAAATCGTTCATTCCTGGTAAAAAAATTTTATAATAGAGCAAAAAAAAACATAACAAAGCAATATGAAGCAAGCACTTTCTTGATAAAATAGTCCTCGTTTTGCAAGTCTCCCTCGCATAAACATTCAAAGCGTGCAGGAATGAAGCTCGCCTAACATCTAACAGATATAAATTAAAGTCTAACCTGCAAATGATTGCATCTCGCTAGAAATTGAAAGCGATTCCTGAGTCGCTTTGTTTAGAAACGGAAATTTTCTTGATACTGTAATAGATTCAGCAAGTTTTAGAGAAATAAAGTTAAATTCTCGACAGTGTTAACTGAGAAATGTAATAACGACAGCAGATTTCTCATACGTTGTTCCCTTCCCTCGCACCTACCGGGCCTTTACATAACGCTGGCGACCGAGCGTTTCTCTAAGTCTTCAATCTAATTTCTATCGATTGCACTTCCTATCGCAGTGAAACACGTGTCTTGAATGCCCATTTTGTTTGATTTATACGACGTTGAATGCAATCTAGAAGCAGTAATAAAATATTTCTCTATTTTATGCAAACGAAAATTCATTGCTTTCAAGCACAGGAGGAAAATCACTTTAGAGAGCGCTGTGCAGAAGATTATGTGAAGGGTATTGTATACTCTCGATACTGTCAAATACTCTCGATACTGCTTCATTATAAAATACATCGATGATTTTATGGTATTTCTAATTATCTTCCTCGATTTATTTTAGAATAGGATTATCAGGTGATGCACGAGTGATCTATTATTATTTTCAGTTATTACAATATAGAAAAAATAAAATCCTGGAAATCAAAGTTTAACAAAAAAATTAGAGCAGAAATACTGCGCGGTAACGCTTTCCGGAAAACGCCGTGACCGAATAAAATTTAATCCGTCAAAATTTTCCGAATGGAAGACCTACGATCACAATAGCAACTCGAGTGACACGCGTACAGACAGATCAACGTGCACCGCGAGACGTCGGCCCACGAGGTCACAATAACAAGTACCCCACCATAAATCTGACGTTGAATCAGCGTTAAATTGAACGTTGTTTCGTTGAATAAACGTCAATTATACGGTGTATCAATGTCATTTTCTTAGCGAGACGACTCGGGCCTGCATTCAAGAGTCGTAAACTAGTCCTGCAGTTTAAATGTTTATAGTGGATTAAATGTTCATTACTGGTTTGTAGCCAGTGAATGCAGAAGAACGGTGGTGGGCATGTAGTGCAAATGGCGCGCTTATGACTGGCAAGAGATATAGTTAGTTATTTAGTTTAGTGGCCACATGTTTACTAGCGCTTCAGCTATTTAGCTATCTCGCACCGAAAGTCAAGACGAACATCACCATCGAGGTGGAAGGTCTCAATGAACGAAAGTTTCTCAAATCAAAAATTTCAAACCACCCACAAGGAGCGGAAGCTCTCAATGGCCCAGCCCGATGAAGCTGGCTCGAATGAAGCAGCGTTAGCATCTCAAAGAGACGAAGTGACAAGGAGGGACAGGTGAAAAGCAACAGAAACAAAGACACTCGAACAAGAGGTCGCTTACACGGGACGTCGGCCGCCCGCACGAGAGAGACAGAGATGGAAAATATAAGGAATCCTACCTACATAATAATTTAACCCCACAACTGAGACCTGCAGTCAGGCACCGCGAGCTCAGCGGTGGGGCGCTCAGGAACAATCCCCCTAGGAGCGCGAAATCCCATAGGACTTCTGACGCGCACAGACACACGTCAGAAGTCCCCCTTGAGGGGTAAGGGGTGCAAGAAAGATAAAAAGTACCAGAATAATCGCCCGTAACGTTTACCCATTGATATAACTATTATTAGTTATATCAAACGTGAAAAAGTAGGTAGATTAAGAATAAACGCATTAAAACGTGTCGAAAGTAGGTAGATTAAGTACCACGAACCTGATATTTCGCTGTGCCACCACTAACCAAGCTAACTAACTGTACAGGTCTTCAGAGATAAGACAAATAATCAGTATACATGACAAAAAAAAAACATATTTCTAACAGGATTTCCGTCGGGCAGCAATAATCAAAATAAAATGAAGAGTAAATCAGAAAACAAGAAAATTATTCTGCATATTAATTTGGTTTTCGGCTGTGATGACCTTATTGGATCTGAAATTTTAAACTCAACTTTACCAAAATCGTTAGGAATTCATAGTATATATTATATACTGATCTTTCTTTTACCTAGAAGAAATCCTGCGGCGCTAAGGAATTTACATAAAAATACATGGATATGGAAAATTTCAAAATCTCGACCTGTAAGAAATGCGAATATGAAAACAGCAAATTTCAAAAAATTTGACAAAAATTCTAACAAGAAAAACACGAATAATTCCAATAATTTTCCAGTCACTCTACAACGTCGATAAGGCTCTCAGGAAACTCCCTGATCAGATGGAGTCAGACATAATGGATGTTGCCACTGCAAGCCATCCAACTGAATCAAAATACCAGACCAACTGACCAGATAGCGACAGACATAATGGAAGTTGCTACTAAAAGCCATCCAAATAAATCAAAATACCCTGAACAAGAAGCAACACACAGTGCAAGTCATACGAACGATAAAACATTGCCCGGCGAGAAGACGAGAGACCTCGTATATGTCTGGGACGTTACTAGGGGTTACAACCTACGCTCCTCATGGCCGCGTGAGCAGGCAAGACACGAGTAGAATCTCAACAAAATGAGGGGATTATCAACACCAGAAGAGATATAATTTACTAAAACTGATAGCCTTTCAAGTTTCTATGCTATGTTCCGAACAACGAATGATTTGACGGGATTCAATTATTTTATAAATTTTGAGTTAGTCACTGTTGGGGGATACCGTGTTATTCTCAACAAATTAGATATTTTCTGCATACGAAAATTTGCATCTCCAAAAATAAGAATTATTTTAGGTGAATTTATTGCTGTTCACGCATATGCAGCAAAGAAGTTGAATCGCAAAATCTCCAGAAACAAGTAAACATTCGAAAAAATGAGGCACAAAAAGAAAATATTAGACTTCGAACAAAAACTTTGAAACTTGTTACACAAGATTCGAATACCGTCTCGGGAAATCTATGCTAGTTTCCCATCATATCTTTTTTATATTAAATAATCACTATCAGGACAAATTTATTTGCTGACAACGGTTTGAAATAATGCAAAAAATCTCTGATAACATCGCAGGTATAAACTAGTAGACAAATATTCCGCAGTTGAGCTCAGCCGGATAGCGGAAAGCAAGACAAATCGTGTTCAATTTGAATCATTCAAGCATTAATACAGCTATGGTTTCTTGTAAAGATTCTTACTCCCATTGAAGGAACTTTGGAATTAATTTCAAGCGCTTAACAAGACATTACATTAATAGAAGTACGAGCTCGAGGCTGCGGTAGGTCTCTGATCGAGAATGATTTTATCGTTGTGATGGCTTGTACTGTAATGCAACCATCAGCTTACATCATCGATAGACATACAGTAACAGAGAATAGCATTAAATTAACAGCCAACAAGAATCTAGTTCAAGTTTGCAGTTCTACTTCACTTCTTCGTAAAGTATAGCCCAGGTAGAAAAAAAAAATAATATTTCATACTTGAAAAACACAAGTCAGCAGCAATCGAATGCATGTATGCAGCAAATGAACCCAGTTTCTTACGAAAATGTTTTCACATTATTGAGCTAACATTATAGATGAATGAAAATATAAGCTTTACTGTTGGTTTTCTATACTTAATGCTCTAAATGTATAGGGAATCAACATTTGTTAACATAAAGAGAGTTGAAAATGAGTCAGTTTCATGCGGTAACATTTCATCACCTTCAACGAATCTACAGCAAACAACACCAAATATAAGCACATTCTCAATGGTGAATAAAAATCCGAATTAAATCAGGAAAACGAAAGTAAAATATACCTAGAGTCAAGACTTGTTTATGGTAATTATAGTCATCTTTGCCCAGGCGATAGGTACAACTCTTAACTATAATTAGTTCACATATTCAGGGACTAGACTCACAAAAGGAACATACACCAGCTATGATATCTTATTTTTGAAGCACTCAATTTTTTTTCTAGGGATTTGCATCACTGCAATTCCTACTCAACCTTCAACAGCTTCCCAGCAAAGCGTATTAATTAAACGTACTAACAAACTTTCCTTAAATTTGACTCTGTATGCACTACAGCGCTTGCAAGCATAAGTGGAACGATAGATAATATGCGTGATAAATATGAGGAGATGGAGACAAAGAAGTCAACAGCAAATAAAAAGAGTACGATTACTATCCACATGTTTAGTGACACAACAAAATTAGAGACAGAAAAATAATTTCGCACTTTATTTTCTGTCATGAAGTGCACATTTTGATTGTCTTATTATGCCCTAATTATGAGTGGTTATACTGAGAATATTGAAAACTTTTTGGGCTGAACAATTATTTTGGGATAATTATCTTTTGATATGTGCTGAAAGGCACCAAGAACTAATACAAATTTATGAGATTGGATAAATACTCTCCGTATAAATACTTCTTTCTTTGGTTTTTCTACGTTTTAAGCAAAACTATTTTTAAGTAGATAAATTGAGAGCAAATCTATAACTTTTATCAGACCTTTGTCTCTAAACCATAACCAGCAACTAGGAATGAAGAAGGTTTTTAAAAAAAAGAATGCACTACGCTTGAACTCGTCTATGTCTGTTGGCAGAGAATTTTAATCATCCATGTTGCTTGGCAGAGAATCGTTAACTACGCATTAAACTATCCATGTCTATTGACAGAGAATTTTAATCATCAATGTCTCTTAGCAGAGAATTAAAATCATCAATGTCTGTTGGCACTGAATTTCAATCATCCATGCCTGTTGGCAGAGAATTTAAACATCCTTGTCTGTTGGCAGAGAATTATCAACTGCGCATGAAATCATCTATGTCCGTTAGCAGAGAATATCTCCTCGTCCTCGTCGGCGAAGGCGAGGACGTCTAACTCGTCGCCGCGCTCCACTTTGGTGTAGCGGCGCTGACGGTCGCGACGTCTGCTGCAGGCCGTTTTGATGGCAAGGTAGAGCAGCACCAGCGCGCTGCACCCCATGAACACGATGAACCCCCGCCACACCGCTCCTGAAAACGTACATAACTCAATATTCTTGTCACCATTCATCTGTATTTTAGTCAAGTATATAATGGCTATATATTTCTCTAGAGTCAAACAACTTATACGTAACTACCGTGCAGGGTAATACAAGTAACATGTGTGAATTCAAACAGACCCAGAATTTTGAAGACAACTACAACTATTAATAATATGCGTTTAAAAATTACTTTTTAAAGACAACACTTCTAAAGAGGCCAGTGTCTCCAATGTTACATATGCACAATGAATTTCTTATTTTATTTTAAAGTGTTAAAAAATTATTTCTTCAATTTTTTTCAATACCATATTCAAAAAAATTAATTTTTTTAATTAATTGATTCTGTCAATAGACTCATGCATTGTCTCCGACTTTATGCAAGTGTGCAAAATTTCAGATCGATTTCACAGGCATGTAGAAGTGTGTCAAATATCGACTATAATATTTGTAGCAGACGGACAAACAAACAAACGACAAGAAGTGAAGTTAAAGAGAAGTGTTGTAAAAATGGTCACTAACTTTACACCAACATTTATTATCTATATTAATATCTGCATGCTGATAATTTGTTTTTAGAGTGTATGGAATCAAAAGACACAATATTTAAATTATTCAATAGTTCAAAATTTAATAATATAAAATGTGGTCAAACTGTCTAGTATAGTGTAATAAACATTGCGGTCATTTCTGTTGATGATTCATACCACTTAAGATTAGTCGCATAGAATTCATATATATGGGCAAAGCTAAAGAATAACCTTTATATGTTGTAAAACTATGCAACATTATTTGTGGGAGTAGAGGTGGTGGCCACTCACCAGAATTGAAACTCCTTGATGGCAAATCATCGTATATGTCTATAGAATCTGTCTCATTGCCACCTGGAGCTGGAGTGTGAGAGATGACAGACGGCTTACTGGAGTTATCAGTACCAACACTGACATTAGTTACACCAGAAATTTTCGTAGGATCTTTGAATTCATGCTGAGATCCAAAAACCTCACTCCTGATGGTAGGCTTGGAATAATTTTGTAAGACTGCAATATTGCCTGAAGAGGCATTGATTGTGGGTTTCGATGCTATTGTATATTTCTGATCAACTCCGGTGTCTGAAGACTGGTATAGTAGGGAGATGTTTAAAGCATCCTTTGGTCCTGGAAAATAGATATGCAGGAGAATGGGTTCAATACTTATATATGCCTAGACAAACTTTAATTTTATGGAATCATGGATAATTGATTGATTTTACCATAGCATTTTAAATATAATGATCATTCAATTGTACAAATAAACTGTAGCAGTTAGTTAATGCATATCAATAGCAGGTGGATAGTTAAATAGTAGTTTTGTTCACAGAAATAGTAATCACTATCATGAAAAATATTCATAATTTAGGCAGTTGCTCACCAGACACATTTTTTATTGATGATATTCTACCCTCATTTTTTTGTATCAATGGGGCAGCCAGAAGAACTTTATCCAAGAAAAGCAAGATGAAGAGCACAGATGTGGTGACAAACCAATGCCTTTCAGCAACCCAACTTGGTCTTTGGGATGATCTCATGTCTGCAATTTTCCTTGAGTTATGACAAATCTTTGCAAATTTTTTCCAAAGAGCATCTCTGTTCTTGATCACAGCAAGTCCCTATGACCCAACTTTCAAAAGCAACCTGTCAGGACAAGAGACAAGGTAAGATGATGGCATCCTCAATATGAAACTTTTGTCATCAAGCCTAGAATATGTAAAAAAGTAGCAAAGTATAACATATTAATTTGAAGAGAACAGAACCAACTTAAGTGAGTAGTACCTTTGCAATTGCAGAAAAATAACAATTAGACATGAATTCAGTGAGAAAATGCACCATTCCAATGAAGATTGGAAGACAATAGATTAGCAGGCACAGTTTATTTGGCATTATTATTATCAGGCACAGTAACCAAAGGAAACAAGATCAACCAGAACATGAAAACCTATCTATTTGCAATTAAGAGGATAATAGCAGTCATTATTAAAGCATGGTGGCAATATTTATTTACAAGCATGGTGGCAATATTTATTTACCAGCATGGTGCAATTATAGAATTGGCGGTTCTTAAAGGGTCCTGGCAAAGAGCCCCATTTCTTGGTGACTTGGTCCCCCCCCTTGAAGATGGGGGGTCCCTCTTCTTGGTCCCCCCCTTGAAGAAGAAGGGCCATCTTGGACCATGACACAATATTTAATATATGAAGCATAGTATAATAATTATACGATAAGAAATAAGAATTTTTGGTGACTATTTATTACTAAAAATTCCAATATTCAAGGAGGTAGTGCAGACCAGGACTGTAGGGCGGGTTTTTCAAATAACATCCAGGCCCCCTTAGCCAGGACTGATAAGTATTGCCAATCCTAGAACTGCACAATGTCTCCAGTCATGGCTTGGAAAATAAATATATTCCATGCAGACTACTCATGCACAACGGTGCACCCCAATTTCAAATATTGGGCAAAAGTTTACTAAAATTGTGAGCAAAAGCAATCATTTCACGGAGATTTTTAATCTTAAAAATTGCAGCTGAAAATGGGCTGCTTCTCTTAATTTTTTACTGAAGAAATTAAAAATTGGTAGAAGGCCATCTATAGGAGCAGCTGAAATAGGCCACATTCACAGGCATTCTTTACTTTCTTCTCTAATTCAAGAATGGATTATGCCAAATTTTCCAGTAAGGTCTGCATTTGGTCTTGCAGGTTGCAGCAAGCCCTAAGTGGAAAAAACGCGACATCAGATGGATTAGTTCGCCTGTTAATGAATTCCGTAGAGGGCTTAGGCTGCGAAAAATTGGCACTAATTCCGCAAGATGCACAAAATTGATAATGAATTCAAGACGAATTCCGCAGCGCAATCAGCAAAGCGAAATCCGCGCGAAATTCGAAGCCAAGAAGAAAATACGGAAGCCAGACGCACGATCGAACAGAAGCTACTAGACCAGGAGCAACGTTCATGTTCGTCGACCCACTCAACCGTCGTATTGCTCGAGAAGCAAATATGACGTGAACGCAAGCATGAACGCGATGTACGAATACCGCCCTTCGGCTTACCAACACCAAGTACGAGAGTAATGAGACAACTAAGCAAGTCAGCAACCCTGAAGTTGATGATCTGCTAATGTGCGGGTGGGCAGTGTACTCTATTACTGTTGTGGGGTTGCCTTCATGATATAACACATCTCTGAATTGTTCGAGCACCGTAACCAATGTTGAGTCGAACTGGTTTTCATTCCTTTGCAACTAAATAATGTATGTTTGATATAATGTATTTTTCTATAGTAAATAGGAGTGGGAACTTTGGTGAGGCTCTCAATTGAAGACATGGAACGTTACTCATTA